AACCCGCAGTGGTTCTTCGTTGCAAACTATCACCCTGTCATATTGCTGCTTCAGCAAGCCCGTAAATTTCTGTATTATTTTCATTAATGTCAGGCGCATTTTCCTGAACACTGAGTCTTCGCTGCTCGTGCTCCTGTTCTTGCTGCCAATTTCGCCAACCATGTGTTTCTGAAGTAAATTTTACTGCATATCCCTCAAAAAAAAAAAAAAAACAAAAACTAAAATTAACGAGAAAAAAAATGTAAAAATTAACCAGAAAGGTGTATGCCAAAGTAAAAACTTTCTACATTTACTTTATGAAAGGCAAATGCAAAATTAAAGCCCGAATGGTAGCAAAGCCTACCAACAGCAATCAGCCGCTGATAAAGTTATCAATAATGGCCCTTTTTCAGGGACTGCTTACAAGCAAACTGAAGGGAGTTTGACCCCCTAGCATGCGCCAGTACCAATTTACCATCGAAGCAAATAAACTGTTGCAGAATGACTACTCAGTGCCAATGACGGTTTCGAAATCATAAAACTCGCAGTAATTCTTCGTTGCAAGCTATCAATTGTGATCTGCGCGAAAGCAAAAATCGACCATTCCCTTCCAGTTGGTTTCCTTTCCAAGAAGTATAAATGCAAGTGAATTGAAGAGGAGCAAAGAGACGGGCAAACACAGACTAGGAAAAGTTGTTTGAAACGTTCTAAAGATTGAAAGTATCCCTCTAATTAACACTTTTATTCCCAAAATCTTGATACTCAGAATCGTAACTTAACAAAAGAAAATTTTCACAGTTCAAAACTATACCGCTGTTGAGGATTTCGATCGACGAGAGAAATTCCGTGCCATCGAAACCACCGAGTAAATAGATTTCTTGGCTAGGGGTTACAATAGCTCGAACATTAGCACGTGAAGTGGTAAGAGGTGGCCCGGAGCGCCATTCCCCGGATGGGTTGTCCAAAATTTCAACCGAATTCAATGATTGCACTCCATCGTGTCCACCAATAACATATAAAGAATCTGAAGAAGCGCTGCTGTTGCTTTGCTCCCCTCAAAGATTCGCTGCTAAAGTTCGCTTAACCAAAAAAAAAGCTGACGATCTGCAGACATATAACAGAAATTGACAGACAGCTTTTTGGGACGCTATCAGAAGAAACCAATCAATCGAATATGGCACATGACTGTTTTCTATTGCAAGGATTCTTTGAGAGGCAAGCTGAAGGTAACCCTATCTTTCAGTGCCACAAATTCATCACCAAACGAATCAACAAATCGCACAGGATTCGAAGCAGGAGCTCAAAAAAGAAAAAATAAACGGCCAACGCACCGACTCTGATGCGAAGATGCGTTTCTGCATTGTTCCCCACAGATTTCTGTCGCTAACGGCACCACTTTTTCCTTCAGATGCTTCTAGTTAAAAGAATTGAGACTGGCCGCCGGACCGCCAGGAAACATCCCCTTAAAATTCCAGTCCTCTAACTTCGCTGTTTCCCGGGGACTGAATTTGAACTCATTAAGGTCTACGTGGGCAGGACATACCACCTTAAAATTTCAGCCTTCTAGCTTTTCTAGTTCTCGAATTGGCAGTCTGCCCGTCAAAAACTTTGGTAGGCCCATACTTGAGCACCACACGGGTAAGAGCGCCCACTTTGGGGAAGGGAATCCGTACACGCATTTAGATTAAGTTCCCAAAGTTTCAGCCCTGTAACTTTTGTAGGTCATGGGATGAAAAATCGGTACAAACTAACACACAGACACATACACACAAACAATCCTTCGTCAATATGCGTTTTCTGCATTGCATAGATGCAAAAAAATACATAAAAACTAAGAACAAGTAACATTTTTCACTGAATAAGCCTATCATCCTCGGTTAGCATGGAAAACACGATAGGACGTGTAAAAAAACTTAAAACAAACCGTTCACCACAGCAACAGCGCAGCCACGTCTGGCTGTCTTTAGAGGAGCCAAATTCTTCCAAAGTCCCGTTTTCGGATTGAACACCTCCACTGAGTCCAGACATCGCCAGCTATCGCAACCGCCACAGACAACTACGAAACCACGCCAGGCAGTGCAACCAGCCTAGTGAATAAATTTCATTAAGAAACTGAATGTTGTAAATTACTGAATGCCTTTATAAATGAACAAATAATGGTGCGCAACAGATATGTATTTGGCAAAAATTCAGATCTAAGCAAATTTGAATATATGCTTAAAAATGTTACTTTGGAACATTGGAACATCTCTGTAAATCCAATCTGTAATCATAAACACAGACAACAAATGAATTCCTAAGCTATTACGTGAGCAAAGATGAATCAAAATTTCAGCTTTGCAACTTATCCTGTTAAGGTGCTGACACACATAAATACATACATTCATACACACATACAGACACACACATACACACATACATATACACATACACACATACATATACACATACACACATACATATACAC